TTCTGTATCTAGCAAATGACCACATTGGTACAATAATCTGGAGTCCCTAGCTAGATTCAATTTATGAAAAGATGCCCTTTTATAGATTTCACAATAGCCTGATTTTCATTTCGTAAATGTGTTTCGTTGTTTAGTGTTTTTATTCATTCCCATTCAGTGAGGAAGTGAATCCACTGTTGGAGGCCCAGTGCCACAGGTTAAAGTCAGAGAAATGAGTCATGCTGGATTTAGTCCCTAGAAGTACTCGCCAGCAAATGCAGATGAGCTTATCACTAGCACTTAAAATGATTTCATTCTTTCCCCTCATATGTTTCCTAGGGCTGTCGTAGCAAAATACTACCAACTGAGTGTCTCCAAACAACAGGAATTTATGCTCTCCCAGTTCTGGAGACCAGAAGTCGGAAATCAAGATGTCGGCAGGGCCGTGCTCCCTCTGAAACCACAGGGGAGAACCTTGCCTTGCCTTTTTCTAGACTTCCGGTGCTGGTGGCAGTTCCTTGGCCATCGTTGGCTTGCAGCTATGTCACACCAATCTCTGTCTTTATCATCATGTGCTGTCCGTGTGTCTGTCTCTACAGTACTGCCTTCTTATAAGGACATCAGTCATGCTGGATTAGGGGCCCAATCCATTATGACCTCACTTTAATTCAACTAATGACATCCACATCCACAACTACTTTATTTTCAAATAAGGTCACATTCTGAAGCACTGGGGGTTGGGACTTCAGCATATCTTCTTTGGGGAGGGATGCACAATTCAGCCAGTAACACCCCCAGCTACCTTTAATCCTCTTCTGCCAGTAAAACTCTCGTATGCCGAAGGAGTCTCTACATGGTAAGAAACTAGAATAGGGATGAAGACAGAAGGCCCCATTGGTTTATAATGTTTTTACTTTCTTCCACACCAGAAAGCATACTGGTTAGGAATTTTTATTAGAGGTCTTTATGAGAAGACTTATGTGTAGAGAAGTTAAATGCCTTGCTTGGTAGCGCCCAAGTGTCATACGTCATGGGCAGCCCGGTCTCCTGATCCCTGGACTGGTGCTGTTCCCACTAATACATAGAGCCTAATATAAAGCCCCATCAGTATGGGTCCACTGACACTCAAAATGCAAATTGGATGTTTTCAGATTAGATGTTGTTATAAAGGGGCCACAAGGAGGATCCTTGCAGTGATGAAACTGTCGTGTGCCTTTGGGATTGCGGACTACCTAGGGATGGTCCTAAGATGGTCCCCAGGCCCCTTTCTTCCCCTCTGGTTGAGTGGCAGTCCCTTCATAATACCACCGGACCACCTAGAAAGCAGGCTACGGTGACAACCATAGGTGCCATCCTGTAGGGCATGGGAAGTTCCCTGAAGAAAAAAGAAAAAGTCCTTTCGCTACCTCCTCAGTCAGCAAATGGAAAGGAATTTTGCTTAAAGAGATTTCAAAGTAGACAATGCATCTGCTCAGACCCACCCTTTGCCTCCCAAGTCTTGGCCTCAAACCACTAGCTGATGTAAGAGAATCTCTAATGTGAATGAAAACAGCATAGGGCCCTGGGGCACAGTGGCCAGGCCACAAGGGACACATGCAAAGATCTGGGTTTGAATCCCCTCTCTGCCCCTGCCTCAAGTGGGGGTTTAGACAGGGTACTTTTCCTCTCTGGGCATCGGGCTTATGGAGATGACAACTCCTGTTTCCCGGGACTGCTTTGAGAAGTGACTGAAATTGTTCATGTACTAGTAAAAGCGCTGGTTATAGAGCCTGGAGCAGGTGTTCAGTAATATTGTTTGTCTTTATTCAGGGCCCCACACATGCAATATTCCGAAAATGCCATGGACTCTCTATTCAAGTCTGTTGTGCTATTTCTAGTTCAAGATTCCGCCCTGGGCTATTTCGGCAGGAGGTTTCTTGTCAGATTAATTCTTTCGTTTCTAACTTTAACTCACTCTCAGTAATGTATTCAGACATTTTTGCAAGGGCTTATCCACATTCTAGTAATTTGGGGGTGAGTTTAAACTGGCTAAATTTCACTTTTCCACTACTTCTATTTCAATGGCTAGTTGAGAGGCCTGTCTTTTGCTCACATTTGTTCATAGTTTGCCTCTTTGGCAAATATCTCTCACCTGATCATTTTGGAGACAAAGGAGAGTAGCTCAAAACCTAGGAGCCCAGGTATTTGATCCTGGGTTAGCATCTGATCAGGGACTCCTCCAGGGTGACAGGCTGTCACTGGCACTATGAGATGAGATGGCCAAGATCCTAACAACAAGAATTATGTCTTGACTTCACAAAAATGTTTTTCCAATCTCTCCCTATATATGCCAAGATGATAAAGATAAGTCATCATGCCCTAAAAAAGTAATTACCCTTATGCTGGCAAGCCTAAACGTAATTTAGAACTGTTAACTATAGAACTGACTATTGAATTTGCTAGAAAGTCATCCAATATGGATTTAGAGGCCATTATAAATCATCCAGAGAAAATAACCTCCCCTTTTTTTTATGTGATGCTAGGTACTAATTAGACCAATCAGCCCCAGGTGGGATCTTATTTATTTTCATGTTAGAGTTATCACATGATTCCATACCAGTCTTAATCTCAAAAGGAATCCCCATACAAACATTAAATAACATAAATTGTGTCATTTCTTAGATTGCAATGAACCAGAAACATTAGCACACTACATCTAAGAAGCTGCTTTTGTTTTATTTTTGGTGGAAGATTAAAAGAGGGTTAAATTTGTGTTCATTTATTTTAACTCAACATTTATTTTGTATTCAGATTACTAAGGTAGCCCAGATATGCTCCACTAGCAGAAAACTTGGAAAAAAAAATAGAAAAGTACAAAGACAACTATAACTATCAGTTATAAATCCACTAATCATATAGTATCATTTTAGCATATTTACCTCAGTCTTGCTTCTCTACAACATTTTTACATAGGTGAAACAGTTGTGCTTCTGTTTTTTGTTTTTTTTTTTACTTAGCATTCATAAATGACAATATTTCCATAAACATCCTTGGATTGATGGTATTCCTTTATATAGATCTACGGTCATGTGCTTAACCATCCTGATAACTAGGCTCATGACATTTATTTTTAATACAGAATTCTTTAAAAGAATCATGCTTACTTACGTAATTTAGAAAATACTGAAACGCATAAAGAAGAGAATATAAATTGGTGGCTAAATTTTTAAAGGTGGCCGTGATGATTTGAAGACTGAAGAAAATACATTGACAACTGGCATTTAGTGAAGACCCGAGAAGTAGCAGACCGTGGGCAGTTGGATTTGTGACCTTCACAAACAACCCCGAAAGCTCAGAGTGTTATAATCACCACTTTACAGGTCCAGAGCTCATAGGTTTTGAACAGATGGGTCTGACCCCATGTTTATGTTTTCTCTTGGCTATGTCAATATTGCTCTCCCAGAATCACCTCCACTCCACCGCCATGTCTACCCCCACCATCACCACCACCACCAGCTCCAACTCTATACCACCACCCCCATCACCACCAGATCGCCACCCTTAGGGCTTCTTATCTCCATCACCACTTCTTTCCATCTCATGTCTATATACCCTTTCTTCTCTTCTCACCTTTATATTCTCCTCCTCTCTTGCTTCACTTTAACCTCCAACAAGCATTTCCTTAAGTGTCAGAGTAACAGAGAGAGAGCAAAAGCCACCCTACCACACTCGCCTTAGGAACAATCCCCATTATTTATCCGTTCGACAAAAGCTGACGGAGAACATACTATGTGGCAGACACTGTTTTGAGCACTCAGTGTATAGGAAGTCCCCCATTTGCGGATTTTTTCCGACCCCGAGAGCTCATTGTTTAGAATTTTCTTCATTTTCACATACTGTTTGCCGTATGAAACACACTTGCAAATTGCCAGCCCATGTTGGTGCTACCAGTCCCCACAGCCTAGCCTCCATGCTGGCTGGAAAGCAGAAGTGAGCTGTTCAAGAAGGATCCCTGCGTCAAAAGGAAAGTCTCAGGCAATCATCATGAAGTAATTTCTTATCTCTTATTGCCACAGAAAACTACCACAGGAAAGAACTTCCTTTTTCCAGACTCAGCTGATGTGCATTTGCTTAATGCAGCTTGCTGCAATAATTTACACACACACCCTCCCCAGAAAAGACTCTTGATATAGGAAGGAAAGGAAAGGAAGACAATTCAAACATCGATGAAAGGATGAGTACCTCAACAGATACATACATTGAAGTCCCTTTCCTCCTCACTTGCACGAAAGAAACGTGTATTCTTTCTGTTCCTGTTTTCTATGTAAAATAATGAGTGGTAGAGGAATCAGACTCTGTATATGACTGTGCACTGCCTAGGACCATAGTAGGAACACATGGGCCCCTGCGGAAAAAGAAAATCCACCACTACAGTCAGAGATGCCTTGGTGGGTGGTAACTCTGACTCCTACAATTACATTTCTTTCCCATACACACAAAGTAAACCAAATGCTCCAGATGCGCTTGGTAAAAACCTTGGAACCAACATTACCTAAGTTGTCATTTATATACAGGTATGATTTCAAGCCTGTGACTTTTTCCTAAGACTAAAATCCCATCCAGCTGCCTGCCTACAAAGGGGGATCCTCCACAAAGAACCCAGCTTCTCCAAAGAGGGTGGCCACAGAGTGATTCCCCAGGCGAATTCCTCAGGACCCAAACAAGTACTAAATTGTGCTTTTCTAAATCAAACCCATGGTCCACAGTCCAAGCACCTGTCAATACAACATCCATTCAAGAAAGAGAAAAGCAGAATGAGTATACAACCATTCTCCCAGGGAATTAAAGAGTAATTTTAACACTGGACTTCCCAACAGCAGGTTCATGAAGAGCTGAGCCAACATTGTATCATCTCCCAAGAGTCACATTTTAAAACTCATCACCATTCTGAAAGAGAGAGTGCTAGGGTATCAATTGCTTTGCCACCTTGATAAGCCAAGCAATGACGCCTGATACATCAGCCAAGGAGTGATTTTACTTACATGCAAGAAAAAGAGAGTAAATCCAAGAGCTGGCTGGTTATCCCTGAGTTCAGAAAACTCATAATCCACTGAAGCAAAAGCTGGGATTCCACCCTACACAGTCAACAGCTCTGGAGGCTCAGTCTACACAGGACTACAATTAGAAACTGAGCAGAGACTAAGGCTCTTTCGAAAGAAGAGGAAGTGTCATCTCTACTTCCTCAATTTTCTTGTTCTTCCCTCTTATTGTTATTGATCCCTTCCTCAATCCCCAAATCCAAGGCACCGTGCACAAAGAGTACCCATGTCCTGTCTGTCCAACTTCACTTATCCCTAAACACCACCCACTGTCTTCGTTTCCAGGACACACGCACAAAACATTACCTGGTTTTGCTTTCCTGTTTTGGAGGCAAAGAAGTGTACTTACAGGCACGGAGGGTGGAAACATTGGCAGAGCTGGTCTCAGTGTGTTCAGCGGAGATGCTGCTTGTTCATCACCTACCTCGTTTAGGCTCAGTCCTATTTCAAAGTTCTCTTCTTTCTCTTCTCCAAATAGTTCATAATGCTCTTCTCAACAGAGGCTAAAAGCATTTTCGGGTAAAAATAAGTCTTAGCCTGCCACTGTTTTGCAGCACAAATCATAAATTCTCAAACAGCAACACTTGTCTTTCCCCCACCAGGCAAGGAAATGACGGGCTGGGAGTCAGAGATAATTGAACTCCTCACCAATAAATTCCTGCCCTCCCACCTCTCCTTTCCAACGGCAGCATCTTGTTTCTTGGGAAGAGTACAATCTCATTATATTTATACTCTGCTTTCAAAGAAAAGGAAACAAACCATTAGAATTGAGCTCGTGACCAAGGCAATCTTCCAGAATGTGGGAGCTACATCGTTAGCATGGGTATCGGTTATCTAATTGCACTGACACTTAGAGGCTTAAAACAACCAACACCTATGACCTCAAAGCTTCTGGAGGTCAAATGTCCGGGCCCAGCTGAGCTAGGTTCTCTTGCTAAGGGTCTTCCACAGGCTATATACTCAGGGGGTCAGCCGGGGCTGCAGCCACCTCAAGGCTTGACTGGAGAAGGAAACTCTTCCAGGCACAGTCCTGCAGTTGTTGGTAGGATTCAGTTTCTCACAGCTCTGAGACTGAGGGCCTCAGTTCACGCTGGCTGTTGACCAAGGCCACCCTCTCTTGTTTACCACATGGGCTTCTCTGCACGGCAGCTCAAGACATGGCAGCTGGCTTCACCAGAGGGAAAAAGCAAGAGTGAAAGGGAATGAAGGAGAGTGAGAAGCTCTCATTCCTGGTTAAAATCCTACATGTGGCCCATCAGTCCTGAAAATGGGTGCTTACAAAGGCTTTCCCCGGCTGGCATCATGGGGAAAGCTGCCCTCCCCACACCGGATCCCGTGACAGCGAGGGCACTTTGGTCTCTGAGGGGTGTTGCAGTGAAGGCCTTGGGGTCCCCTGGCCCATTCTCAGCCCCAGGTGTCTGAAGTGGGAAATAAAGGCAAAAAAAAAAAAATTAAATTTCCTTCCTACCTACAGCCCACTGACAAGTCCTTGAAATAGGCAGAGTGACCTTCCTCTCAGAACACAGCTGCCTCCATGTTAATACTTTGCTAAGGGCAAAAGGCAATCTAAGCCCGACCCCCAGGATCCTGTAAGTCTACTTTAACATATAAAAATTCTTTGGAAACTTCCTTTATCTCTACCCCCCCAAGATACGTGTTGGCAATCATCCCCCAAGCATATGGCTCACCGATATACATCTGAAGGGTCTCAGGTCTAAGGTTTTATTAGACAGTAATAAATGACCTTTTCCCAACAATAGCTAGCCTCCTCAAGGTCCTGGAAACCTTGCTTCCAAAATTCCTTAGAGACTTATGCTATCCCTAACCCCCTCCGAACTTGAAAGTCTATAATGGGCCACTCCTCATGACCCTGGTGCAGCTCTTCCTGCCCACAGGTCCTGTCCCTGGGCTTTAATAAAGCCACCTTTTTGCACCAAAGACATCTCAAGAATTCTTTCTCAGCCATCAGCTTTGAACCCTAACATCTTACCTACGTCATTGTCCATTCCAAGATCTCTTATCTGGGACCTTAGGTCAAGGTCCTCTTTGGGTACTTCCACTGAGGCCTCTTTATGCAGGAAGGAGGGAAGCTTTGAAGATACCTTTCTGACTACTCAGTACTTCCTAGCCACCTCCCCTCTCCACACCCACTAGGGTCTATAACACTGCTGGAGCCTTTTGTTTGGGGCTCCCTCAACATTGAGACTACCCCCACATCTGTGCTCATCCACCTGACTCCACCAGTGCACCATTCCATGGGGGAAAACGAAACAGGGGGAGTTGGTGCTTCCTCCAGCTTTAGACTCTTGCTTCTGCCCTGACAGTAAGTGATTAAAGCCTTAACTCTTTCAGTTGTGGCTGGTCGTTTCCATCAGCCACTCATCACCTCTACCTTGCCCAGCTCTGTTGAGCTCCTGACAGGAAGAGAGTGTGAGCAAGACAGAAGTCACAACTTTTGTAACCTATTCTCAGAAGTGATATCCCATCACTTTTGCCACATTGTGTTTGTGAGAAGAGGAGAGGGTCACACAGTGTGCACTCCCGGGGCAGGGATCACAGGGGGCCATCTTGCAGGGTGAGATACCGTATGGAAAATTTTACCCAAATACAAGTCGCCCTTGGTCCAGCCAAATGTTAACAAAAGGGAAAACCCTTCTAAAGATAAAATCACAAATATAGTCACACTGCTATGAGAAAATCTGAGACTTGCCTCCAGACATTATAATATCCTGCCACTCACTGTATTCATTACCAAGATCATACTTACTGCTCAGACCTGAAAACCCAATGACCCTAATCATTCAATCTCCAAGACACGGACAAATTAACATAGAAGCAAACCCTATAATAAACTACAAAACTAGAGTCTGCAATTTCAATCAAAAGAATAACTTTTCACCTAACCACAAGCATGAGAAGCCTTCAAGCAAACCCAGAGATTCCTCAGTGGGTTTATATAGTCTCTTTAAGCATCCATCTCAATGAGATTCAAACTCCTCAACACCTGGCTTCTCTCCTCTTGACACTCAACGAATCTTCTCCCTCCTAAGAATAGACCAAGCAGGGCTTCATTGCTACAGTCTCCCCAACACCCTATGGAACAAAAACATACTACTCCTTCCATCTTCCTTTGTAAGCATTTAGAAGGGCTACTTCCCGGCCTGAAACCACTGGGGGCGAGGAAGAAAGGGTCATTCTGGGTTGAGAAGTGAAGAATAGTAAAGAATCCCATTGACCTTAGATCTTCGTCATTTGATGATGTTCGGATAACAGCTGACATTCTAGACAGAAGCCTGAGGCACTGGATTTGCAGTTTAACTGGCAAAAGATGAAGGGCAACATTTTCAAAAGCCAAGTGGAGATCTTCTGTATGTCATGTTTTGTGTCTCTCCTTCTTCAGAAGTTTTTGAATTTACAGATTAAACATAGCCTACATCCCAACATACCCCACGTCTCACAAACCTAATGTCAATTAAAAACCGTGTTAAAAATAAATAATGCCAGGACACCTGGGGGGCTCAGTCGGTTGAGCGTCTGCCTTCGGGTTCCGGTCATGATCTCCAGGTCCTGGGATCGAGCCCCACGTCAGGCTCCCTGCTCTGCGGGGAGCCTGCTTCTCCCTCTCCCTCTGCTGCTTGAGCTCTCTCTCTCTCTGTCAAATAAATAAATAAAATCTTTAATAAATAAATAAATAAAGCCATTGGAGGAGCAGAGAAAGCGAGGGCATATAATAAAGTTACTATTTGGTGAAAGTGATTGCCTTTGGGGAAGAGAAAATAGTTTGAAAAACAACCTCAGTCTCCGGTTGCAGACTTCCTCTCCGTTTCTTTATATTCCTTTCATAAGGAGACAAAAATGAAATTGAATCTGTGGAGGAGTGAAAGGGTGACAAGAAGATGTTGTAATTCTGACCAGGAATAAAATGAAAGTTCTCTCAGTGGCTTCCTGTTTGCATGAACCTCCGTTTCTGGGCAATGCTGCCTTCTCCCCTCCCTGCCTGGACTTGTCCCTGCAGGACTCTGTTGTGGGTGGCAGCTGAAAGTGCCAGACGCTATGGGAAGGACTTAGTGACATCAGTAGCAGGGACTTGCTTCTCCTCAGGCTTTTCGATGCCATCATCGAAGACATCCCCCAAAGGGCACGTCATTCACAATTATGGGGCCGGGATTGGAGCCCTGAAATTCCACGAGCACAGATCTCCTGATTGATAGAAGTGAAATAGTGCTCAAGGTGGCTGGACTTCCAGTTTAAGAGGAACGGATAACAGATGCTTCATGCCCTTTTCCCTCCCTCCCCAGACTCCATTAAAATGATAGGAAAAGCATAAAAGGTATATAAGCCTAAAATAACAAAAGTAAAATTGGAGGAAGAGCATTAGAGCTTGAGCAATTTCAGCAGACTCCTGGAAGATGGAGTGACGGAGGGGGGTATGAAGCGTAGGAGGGCAGGAAACCAGAGCGTCCTGTCAGTAAGACTCCACACAGTGGTAGAGAAACTGGCCATCTGTGCGGCGGGATCCCAGAAAGGATCAGGACTCAAAAATCCAAGACAAGTCTGAGAATCTAAATAAGTGATGGGGCTGGGGCGATTAGGTGACTCATTCGATTGAGCCTCCAACTCAGGTCATGATCTCAGGGTCCTGGGATTGAGTCCCCGCATTGGGCTCCCTGCTCATAGGGGAGCCTGCTTCTCCCTCTCCTTCTGCCCCTCCCCACCCACCCCAATCCCCACCCTCACTAGCTTGTGGTGCACTCTCCCAAATAAATAAATATTTTAAAATACATACATACATACATACATACATACATACATAAAGGGGCTGAAAAAAGGGAAGATTGATTCAAAGTGTATAAGAACCTAGCCCCACCCCGGCCCACACTTCCCTTTCAAGTATCTCCATCAGCCTCCCCCCTTTATAGAGCAAGCACTGACCAGCCTGTGGGCAGCCATTTTCCCCCCCACCCCACACAATATTGTGAAGGATTCATCTCTAAAAATAGTGAAATTATGCAAAGAATACAGACAAGGTATGTGGCTATGGGCACTCCAGAGTGGAAACTCCACATTCTGGCTATTAGAGCATCACCCAGCATGTGCTGGGGCATA